TATGCTCCTTAGCAAAATAAACGGCCACACCTGTGGCCAAAAGATTCCCACATCGGGATGTTGTGTTATTGCCCAGCAAACAGAGCTCAGCCAAAGCAACACACCCATATTTTATAAATGCATTGGAATAAATTTAGAAGGAACAAGATACATAAGCTATCGTAACGAAGCTCTACCATGCTGTGGCTTTGAAAATGTGCTATCCACAGACGTGACAACCAGGTACCTTCATCTGTCACCGGTTCCTCTCATCTTCAAGATGAGAGACCCTGGGAACGAGGTTGGTTAGAGTCACGGTCCACAAAGGCGATAACCTCAGCAAGGATTGGAATCACTGATGAATAGACCCTCTACCACAGTGCTTTTCTGAATGTCCCATTCTCTTGGATTCCCGTAGTAGTAACAGTATTTGTTTTATCTTTTGAATACCCTATGTAGGATTTAACTCAGTCACAAACTAAGTGCTGACGTTTTTCTGACTTTTCTGTCGAGAGATCGTCCTTCTTGACAGCAGCAATCGGCGTGACCGATGGCATGACTTTCTTCCGAGTGCTATTTTAATCAGTGGCGTGACTTTGTTGCAGCTGTGCCCTTGTCGCGTCGAGCGCCAGACCCTCGGATACGGTACAATGATCCAGTTATTCTTTTTTCTTAGTTTTCAGCCACTTTAATACAGTTTAAAATCGTTCTATGATGAGTATAACTTAAAAACTGTCCAAAAAGCAATAACAATTTCAAAGCTGAAATAATATAAATGATGGTTAAATTTGTTCAGCCACTGTCTTTGTCAAGTCGTGTAAATAAAAATACCATTAAGCGATTAGTTAATTTAATACACGCAGGACTTTTATTTACTTCAAGAAACGTTCAAACACCTCACAAATGCCGGGTTATTTATTTCTGCAGATCTTCAGTTATAATTTTTAATGCGTCAGAAGTTATAATTTTTCGTATCCTAAAGGTCGAGCTATGTCACGATATTTTAAGTCATTTTTGCGAAGGGCAAAATCACCTTCAAATTGTAGCAAGCCTCAAAATAACAGTTTACTAAAGTAGAAAAACACCAAAGAGGCGATAATAAACCAAACAGGAACAAGGATGGGATGGAGAAGATTAATACGGATTGCGAACGAACGATTCGCCATCCGTGACGTAGCTCCTTTAACGACCCTAACTGTGGTTTGGTTCTGTTATAAAGTAACGAGAGCACATCGAGAAACACACGAGCCGTGGGTGAGGGCCTTTCACTATTTCTAAGTGTTCTCTGTGTCATTTTCTAATGTTTTATAACTAGACAACGCACGATCAAGGCAATCAGCGCTTATTTTCTCAAGAAATTCGCTTTCGTTTTGTGGAAAAATCATCAGTAAAATATTTTTAAATTTAAATATTTTCAAAGCCAAGCTTACGAGTCGGAATGGCGTCATTTCTTTATTCTCTCCATAAACCATGCTAAAATTGAAAACTCCTTGCACTGAAGAGTGCATAAAATATAATGAGTACAGAAGAAACTTTTTCCTTAGTTTATTATGATAACAGAACTAATTTTGAGAACAAATTTACGTTTATTTTGTCAGAAAATGAACTGTTTTTGAAACTTTATAGCTTGCGCGCGCGCGAAATGACGTTATCTCCAAGTTTATCTGACAAAACACGCTCAATTTTAATTTGTTCGTTATGCCACTAATGGTCTGTACAAGAGTTATGTATATTATAAAAGTTCTCAAAGGACTTTAATCAGTTATTGTCAACAGTTTGATCAGTGAGGACAGGCATTTCTGGCTATTGACATAAATCAGAATACATCTTAGCTTAGAGCAAAGGTCGCACTCATAAAGACTAAGTGTGTTTACGAGTTCGGAAGTTGGACCATGCGAAAGCAATTAGATTTTCGCCATTGCTTCGTAATTGCTAGTTTGATAACCGTTGCAGTTGTTGTGTTTTTCTGTTTAAATGTTCAACTTCCGACTTCGACGTCAATGCTTTCAAAGTTCTTGGTTTCTGAGGCAACTTCGTCCCAAACTGTACAGTCGCGGCAACGAAAGAGCTTGTTGATTATAGGAAGAGGACGGTCGGGAACAAGCTTTGTGTCGAAAATGTTCGCAAGTGGAGAGCAGGTAAGTAAACAATACAAAGAGGGAAAATTCATCGTGTAATTGTTTAATATAAATTCAACTCACATCAACTGCCCCAAATGCAAGACGTGTTAAAAGACATTATTTATCTACTGGAGGATGGAAATGGGGGAATATCACGACACCGTAAAACTGATACAGGTTTATCCTATAAAGTATTTGTCTGGCATTTCATACTGTCATAAAACAATCTTGACTATGACAATAATTAGCGTAATTAGGGCGTTACTACAATTCGTTTCCGTGCGTACGGGAAACGAGTCATTCGTCTTTGAAACGAAACTCGAAACTCTCTTTCTCTCTCTCTAAGCTATATATTATTTACTGGTAAAACGACGAAGGGGAATCCCTAATCCCGCACGCCCCTCTGGGTAGGGTACAAAGAACTGTTGGCCGCGAGAGACTTGGATTCCACACCACTACAATTAATCTGAAGATGACCGGTGATCGAGATTGGCACACATTTTGACAAGCATTTTTGGCTGTGTTTCCAAGACATTTTACTTTGTATTCGGCTCCAACAAGAGAGGTTTTGATCCTCTCTTGGAATATTTATGTACGGTCGTGACTAGAATGGATAGCCCAAAATCAGATCAGACGTTACCCTAACCCACCACAAAAGAAAGCTAACAATTCTCGGGGCTATAGTAGGTTAACCGGGGCGCTATTCTCGAGGCTAATCAGTGCTATTATAGACCAACTGGGGTACTAAAGTAGGCTGATCTTATTTTGGGCTATTCATGTAAGGCATAGCCATTTATGTACTGATAAAATCTCTGCTAAATATAATAGCTAACTTGTATTTATAGATCATTGTTTCATATCAGAAGCTTATCAACTTCTGTTCATATTTATAGACCATTGTTTCATATTTATAGACCATTGTTTCATACAAATTGGATGGACTCAATTTGATCGACTCGAATGTACGTGACTAGATTAACTGGGGACAGACTGACTCGTCCCCAGTCATCTCTCTTGTCTAAGAGAGACGACTGGGGACGAGTCAGGGGGACAGATGCCACTGCTCCCCTACTGTGATTTCTTTTACTTTCTTTACCGATAAGAAGTAAAGGTAAAGCCACTCGGGCCAAACTGGCCCACACTGTCGGAGCTTATCCTGGTTTCTGTAGCATGAAGCCGACTAGGAGTATTGCTACTCCCCTAGGATGGGATGCTAGTCCATCGCAGGTTAACCCCCGGCATTTTGTCATCGGTACCCATTTATACTCCTGGGTGCATGGAGAGAGGCACTGTGAGAGTAAAGTGTCTTGCCCAAGAACACAACACAATGACCCAGGCCAGGGCTCAGAACTCGGACCGCTCGATCCGGAGTCCAACGCGCTAACCATTGGGCCACCGCGTCTCCTCCTGTTAGAGGGCTAGCATTTTCCTTGAAAATAACACTGGGTCTTCGTTTACCTCCACAGACTTTGGAGGTTTATGAGCCGTTACGATATCACAACCTTACAAACGACGAAAAGTTTCAAGTTTTACGAGCATTCCTCTCCTGCAGGTTTACACCAAGTACTTTATGGGAAAAAGATTATTTTCCGCCATTTTGGTACTTAAGAGAGACGAGTTACTTCGTTGAACCAAGTAAAAAACCTGGCCTGCTTAAAATACCGGAGGAAAACAACGCGCTGTTTTCCCGGAGACAAACTGGTTCAAAGATTTATTGATAAATGCAGACATAACTTTGATAATACGGTGGTTAAGGAACTCATCGATCGTCTACCATACCGCAGTATATCAAGTGTTATACCAGAAATTACCCACCACACAAGCCATGCAGATATTCGAGTATTGCACGTGGTTCGTGATCCTAGAGCAAACATCAACTCAAGAATAAAACTCGGGTGGATGCCCGATTATAAAAGTCCAAGCTTTGAACAAAAGGTCCAAAAGGATTGTGACGTAACCGTTAAAAACATCGAGTTTGGTCAGCAACTCAACGAATCTCTCAGACACAGGTATAAACTTATTCTATACCGGGATATCGCAGCCAGACCGGTTGATACGGCGAGAGAAGTCTTCAAGTTCGCAGGGTTTGATATGTCAGAGAATACTTTAAGATGGATCGTAAACATGACAAATCCTAACACAGAGGACGCGATAACACAGTTTAGGAAGCCTTATTCGTTAGTGAGGGATTCTAAAGCGAATATCGACAAATGGAGAAGGGAGTCCCCTCCCGAGCGGACTCGTATAATAGAGAGGGTCTGTCAGCCATTGCTTGAACTTATGGAGAAAATAAGTATTGAGCAAGAGCACTTGTTCATTTAGTTATTTAAACGTGAAACCTTGTGCTTAGGCCATTTCCAAGTTAGACTGCAAAACATTCGTTTTTTCTCTAAATCGCTGGTCGCAAGGCACGAAGCGCCGAAAGCGCGTCACACGCCCGTAGGGCGTGTTAGGCGCGAGAACTCTTCGTTTTCACACTCGCTCCAGACCTTTCGTTCAAAGACCGCGCGCATTTGTTTGACAGACCAACGCAAAAAATACGACTGTTTTGCAGTCTATTTCCAAGTGGCCTTTTGCCTCTGTTTCAAAACGAGTCCTGGTGCTCAACCTTTCATATGGAAATGAGTTTCATGCACACCAGGACTCGTTTTGAAACAGAGGCAAAGGGCAACACGGAAATGGCCTATTGAGAGCAGCTAAGAAAAAATTGGTACTAACAAGAATATATATGAATAAAAGAAAATAAATAAATGGGAATTTCAGTAGAAATCCACAGTGTCTCTTCTCTTCCACTGATTCCAGATCAAATTGGAGTTTAGAAACTGTTGGTTTTTGTGGAGGGAGGAAAACCGGAGTACCCGGCAAGGATGAGAACCAACAACAAACTCAACCCCAATATGACGTCGGGTCCGGGATTCGAACCCGAGCCACATCGGTTGGAGGCAAGCGCTCTCACCACTGCGCCATCCCTGCTTCTTTATCACATTCAAATTCTCCATACTCGTCTCCATACAGTTTTAATGGTGCTAGTTGGGAGAATGCGTTTGAAATACTGATAAAGATAATTATCCTACGACAAGAGATAGCTAGAGATGATGATCTAAGAGAAGGATTCCCCGTGCCCCATGATATATGTTTTGAAATCTATTAATAGTTTTGCGCCCGAGTTGCAGTGAAAAAATATTTTTATTTCCTTCTGATCGAGACTCCGAGGTAACGTTACTCAAACTGACCAATCATCAGGTAGCTCTATAAATAGCTCAGCTATGGACTGAAAATTAAAAATAGATTTCAAAAAAATTATTATGGGAAGAGACTCGTGTATGAGGGAATGCTTCTCTTTGATTATCCTCTCTTGCTTAGGAGATCATTTTCCTAATTCTTGTCACCTCTTTGTTGGACAATGTATTGATTACGTAATGAGAATCTAGATATCGATCACCATTGCGCTATTGCAGTAAAAAGGTATACTGGTTTCCTCAATCAATCGTTTAGTACTGTACATGTTGTTTTCATGCTTTACGAGAGGCAGTGTTTCATCTGATTTCCAAACACCGAGAAAAGAGTTGAAAATTCGACGCGCAGCGAAGTTTTTTTTACGAAGTTCGAGGTGTTTGGAAAAGTGACGAAACACTGTATGAAATAAGTGTTTGATATTTCTTCTCAATCGAAACTAAAACTAAGGAATAAACGGATAAATAAAATCGTAAAAAAAATCTATGCTAATTAAGATGAGATATCCAACAGGCCATTTTTGAATTGCCTTTTGCCTCCGTTTTAAAACGAGTCCTGGTGCACAACCTATCATATGGAAATGAGTTTTACCTGCGCGTTTATTGTTTAAAACTTTAAATATTTTTAAAAACAAGATTCGTAAATGTGATATAAGTTCACTGGTGGATGATGGCTGTAAGGGTTGTTCCCTCTGCTCATCATAAGTATATAATATTATCACTTTTATATATATTAAATTTTTAGCGATTATTATTCTATTATCAGATTATTAGATCAGTCACTACTAGATTGTTAGATTAGTATGATTAGTATTAAGACGAAATCCATTAGAAAATCGAGTAATATTTCTGGCCAGTGGACAAAAATCCTGTACTACGACGCCATAATCTTTCACGCTTAAACTAGACATTCATGAGCCATACCTTAACGGTATTCACCAAATAATACAACTCCACAATCCTTAAATTGCTTTCCGCCTTGAGTTTCCTCCCGTGAATGGGTTGAGTCATGAGAGGTGGCAGCCATGTTTAACAAAAATATGGCTGCCACCTCTCATGACTCAACCCATTCACGGGAGGAAACTCAAGGCGGAAAGCAATTTAAGGATTGTGGAGTTATATTATTTGGTGAATACCGTTAAGGTATGGCTCATGAATGTCTAGTTTAAGCGTGAAAGCTTATGACGTCGTAGTACAGGATTTTTGTCCACTGGCCAGAAATATTACTCGATTTTCTAATGGATTTCGTCTTAAATTTTTATACTATTATTAGATATTTTACACAGTTTTAAATATTTTCAATTTGTTAGTATCTATTTATTTTTTTGTGTCCCCAAATTAGTATGGGATTTTCCCAGGCTACAAGGCTTGACACATAAATAAAGTTTTCTATTCTCTATTCTCTATTCTGTCTTGCAAATCAAATCAACCCAACCATCAAAAAATCCTTCCGCATAGTTTAGATCTACTTAGCGCGTTCCATTATTTCAGGATTAAATCACTGATTTTTCACTGGTCTTAATTCACGACTTGAACATCTGTCCGCGGGCTCAGCAACTTTCTTGAAACCCAATAAATCCATCAGAGGCGCGCATTCTCTTTCAATGACTCGATTCCTTTCGAAAAAAGCATCCTGTCGCCATTTATCCGCGTTACCAGTTGCATTCCTAACCGTAGAATAAGGTTCTTTTAGCGCATTTTTCAGTTTCTCTTCATTCGGTTTTGTGCTCTCCACTATCCACTGTTCCGTTTCTGCTGGCATGTCGAATCCCGCGAAATTGTATATCTCCTTTGCAGTTCCTAAGGGATCATCTGCGATCTGCTTGTAGAAAACCAATTTATATCTGTGTTTAAGTTTCAATTCCGTTAATGCCTTATCTGCATGGTTTAAATTACCTACAATTGTATCACAGAGTTCCCTGGCAGTTTTAGCAAGATTCGGATTCGGGTAATCTTTCACCCAGTCTATATTGATTCGAGAGTTAATATTTCCTCTGGGATCACGAACCAGGTGCAAAACACGTATATCGATATCCGGATTTTCCAGTAAAACCTGCGGAACGAGATTAGCCAGTTTTTCTTCGGGAAGCCGCACAGGCGAAACCTTGACAACGCTGTGCTTGAACTTGATATTGCAAACGGAATCCACGTATCCCGGATGTTGTCCAATCTCGGGGCATTCCACTTCGATCTTTACGGAATCTTCACTCCTGTTGCAAAACTTTTCCGTTTTAAAAATGTTAACTGGCAGAGCGCCTGTCCAAGGCTCAGAGACATAAGACAAGAACTTTGTTGACACAGAAGAGCGTGTGAAGTTGCAAGCTACAATAGAACTTACCACCTGAAGTTCACACTTTGAGCAGTGGAAATCCGGTTCATAATATTCCCATCTTTGCGTTATCCACAGTGGCTCGTAGACCATGAATATTTTTGGATCTTTAGCAAACATGGCGCTTATGAACGTGGTACCAGAGCGATCGTGTCCGAAAATTAACAAGCTCCGTCGAAGGTGTGGTCGAGTAGGGGTGGGAACAGTATTTTGAGGAGCGTATTTGGTTAACAATGTCCAAGGCGTGTTATTGGAAAATAATGTTTGCGAATTTTCCACGATGGTATTATCCACGGTCGTTGGTTTCGCTAACTGATGTAAACGAGATGTTTTGCTGTGAAATGTGTAGAAAACATAACTTACAGCAGCCACACATACAACCGAGAGCAATAACAAACCTTTTAAGAAGCTTTTCCTTCTCATCGTCTCGGCTACAGCTCTATGAAATAAAATCATCAAATAAAAACTACGATGAAGTGTCCATGTATTAGAATTACAACTGTCATAGGATCAACTTGAGTTTGGAAATTTGCAGTAAAGCTTTTCTCTTTTGCGCATGACTGTATTTCATAGTCAAGAAACCGCAGGCTCTGGGGTCGACTGATAGTTGTGCATTCTCGATCTCAGAGCCGTCGGTTTCTTGATTATGCAAGACAGTCATGCGCAAAAGAGAAGAGCTATGGGTTGATGCGCAACTGTGTTGGAGATTGTGAAGACGCGTAGAAGCGCGCAAGCGCAACAAATTGAGCCAACCTCGTAACCAGGGCTTTCTGAAAATGGCGACTATTTTGAGAAGGCCCTCGGGGGACGAGGTTTGTATTGGGCTTTGGGCTTGAATACAGCAATGGACCTTTCTCCAAAATGGCCACCGCAAATTCATATTAATCTGAGCGGAAAATCAATACCAGCACCTGAAAGACCACCTCTTGTTTGGTAATCGTACGAAGTTTCGTTAGGTTAGGTTCTACCTGAGTCGAGAAAACGAAAGTTGGAAACTGGAAAATTTAGAGACGCTCAGTTTAATTTTAATCATTTTGAATTTGCGGCGGCCATTTTAGAGAAAGGTCTATTGTGGAAGCCTCGTGGAAGGCGAGAATCAGCAACAATCTAAACTCACATGTGACGCCAAAATTACCGCAAAACTCAGAAAATGCTCTATCGTCCTCTTCGCCTTCAGAGAAAGTTTATAAATTGCATGTCACACGGCCGATAATACAAGATGTTTTCAAAAGCTCGGTTCTATATTCATATTTTACTGAGCTTATTTTAATACAGCGATAGATGTAATTTGGCTAATATATACTCCACGATTCGTGCAGATTCTCAATTAAAAATTGGCTTCACATATTGCCTTTACATCGTTCGTTCGACTGTCTATGTGGCCAGTGGGACCAACTTGTTTGCGCCGGTTTCAAGATATTTCGTTATGTTTCTTGTGGGAATTTAAAAAAAAAAGCTTAGTTAAAAGTGAATGCAGAATACATGCCTTATTTACTACTTACTTACTTGGAGTCGTATACAGCTGTATATCTGGTCAAGTCAAAGACCTCCTCGTCCAAAAGTATAACATGCACTGATTGGAGTTTCTCAGTGCTAACTGAGCGTAGTAATAAAGTAATGGATATGTCACTCAGTGTGTGGCTTATTGTAGCAATTTCAATAAGTTGCGGCGGTTGGCAAACATATTTCATTGAGAGTAGAAGTTGCTTAGTGATTTGAATAATGACTTGGTTTATAAATTGCCGTAAAAACCAGAACTTATGATTACGGCAGGGATAAGTCAAAAACCGGCAAATGAATTCAAACGATTTCTTAGCAATAAAATCAAGCTTGTGTCGTTAAAGGAGCTACGTCACGGATGGCGCATCTTGAAAAAAATGGCCAATTTTTTCAAGTTCGCCATTCGCAATCCGTCTTAATCTTCTCCATCCTCAACCATCCTTGTTCCTGTTTGGTTTATTATTACCTCTTTGGTGTTTTTCTACCTTTGTAAACTATTATTTTGTGGCTTTCTTCAATTTGATGGTGATTTTTCACTTCGCAGAAATGACTTAAAATATCGTGACATAGCTCCTTTAAGTCTTGATCTACTACGTTTACAGCCTTTACATGTAAAACTGCTTTTATTGGTGTCCGCGTTTTGTGACCGGCTGCGGAAAACTGCATTCCAGTTTTATTTTTTAAGAATCTCGTTTTTATAAGAATATTGAGGCTGAGATTGGCGAAATTTTAAGAATATGCTAAGAATATACCCAAGGTTGAGATTTAGTTAAGACATTATTTTGCATGTGGATAGCAAATAAAATGCAATAAAATCATGTGGTTTTTTTATGAACTTTATTATACTGTATACTTCTTTCCTTTTTCTTAAATCAAAGGTTTTCTTGGTCCATCCGTATTATTTTACTGAA